ACGCTGCTCCTTGAGCTGTGACCGTGACCCTGAGACCAAGAAAGCTGATGTTCTTACCGCACGGATGACATGGCATCTGCTGGAAACTAAAATTTAGGGGTTGGGTGGTGAAGTTTCTTTTATACAAGCGACAGACATCATTCAGTCTTGGTAATTTTGCCTCCAGCTGCTATCAAAAGGGAAATATAGCAGAAAAAGGTAAGTCAAATCCATGGCAACAGGAAACTTTTTTTTTAAAAAACCATCTTAAATCTGTTTCCCTGTCTCTTCCTAAGAAGTATTTGGGAATAAACAAGAACACAGTCAAAATGTTACATTTTGGTGCAATTTATTGGCACAAAAATAATCAAATACAACATGGCATCTAAACATGGCTACTCTGTTGTATTTTGTGCATTGTTTTTAATATGTTTAATTCATAAATCATAACTTTATCTTCACCCTCATGTTTAATAACCATTATTTTATGTTTCAAGTTATGACCAGCTCTCCCCACGTCTGCCTCCTACGCCAAGTACTAACTTTCTCTAATGATTTCCCAATACTGATTCTCAAGCCAGACACTGTGGGAAACTCCCAAGGGATATTTCTTTTGTACTCTGCACCCAGTTCGCCACCGATCAATCCGCATAGAGGCACCTGACTTTGCTCAGCTCAAGGTCTTCAACTCCTGGATCTTATATCCTGATCTAGTCTGAAACACGACTCCTGCACTAGTGTAATGAGGGGAATATACAGTCTCCAATTTGGGGGCAAGAATCGGTTTGAAAACAAGGTAACAGGATGAAACAATGGTAAAATCCTCCTTCTCTCCTATTTCTTTCCAGTTATCCAGCTCACCCCCAAACCTAAAGGAAGCCTCTGGCACAAGTGCATTGAGCTCACTGCAGCCACACCAACAGGACTGACCAGGGCAATAATTAATCTGCAAATGACTTAGTTACATTGCAAAGTAAGTCAAAACCCGTATACAGAAATTTTCAATGGATCACCAGTTCCCCAAAGACCAAGTGGAACCATAGACATCTGTGGTACAATCAGTCTTCACTGTCCTGGAAACCCAAATCAAGTGTTGTGTTTCAGACAGCTTGTGTTTTTCCAACAGCAGCTATACATTGGCTTAAACCAACTTTTAATATACAATAACTCTTTTCATTTACATTTCAAAATATTTGACAAAGGCTGTGTATCAGTCCAACGTTCAGTTTGTGTTTGTAGAAGAGCAAGTTTGGAGTGCAAAAGCCTCCAGAATAAAAGGCTGAGGATACTTCAGAATCTTCTGTTACCAGAAAGGACACCTAAAGAAAACAAAGATATTGTAGTAATCCTGACTTGCATATAGTTTCACAAAGGCAACACTGAGAAGGACTGAGATTCCATACTAACTAGCGTGTTAGTTTCTACATAGTATATTAGCATAGGAAAAGTTGACAGGTGATCCCCATGCTTCTTTCCAGCCAATCAATGTTTTAAAATGCTAAAAAGATCTATTTTCTTAAGCATAGTCCAAAGTTAGCTAACTCTCAAAATGACAGTAAATCATTTTTGTTTAGAATATGTGGTTCTTCACTGTAACAGAAATCAATGACCACCACATGCCATACTTCAAACACTTAAAAAGTTCAAGCTGATTGCAGTTTAAATGTTCTAAAATCCCTGTCACTACTTGTAACAACAATTTTCTTCCAGAGGAATGTCTACGGGATCGCTCTCATAGGCTTGCAAAATTCACCAGAGCAGATGCAACAGGTGGTAAAGCTTCCACATAGAACTGACTGCACAAGTGACGTTTTCCTTAGCTGTTCTCTCCTTAGGTTACTCACAGAAGAATTTTTCAAGGTTAGCTCAGTAACAAACTCACCATCCAATGTAGCACTGGCACAGGTTCTCATGAGAAGTAGCTTGCTTGATGAGCAATTCTACTTGTGTGGGTACATCAAGAGTTTCGTCATGAGAGAAGTCTCGACCTTTGAAATTAAAGGATGGGAAAAAAAGGTAAATGAAAGTCACAGATCATATAACATAACTTACTTCTGGGTGGCAAGTTAAGGACTGATAGGACTTTTAACTACCCTTCCCTTACAGCATATAAGATGCAAAATTTTCCAAACATGGAGAACCTCTCAAGGCATACAGAACCCAGATTTTCCCTATTGTTATGTTTTCTTCCTTCTTTCTTCTCCAAATAATGGATTTAAAAAAAAAAGTGCTCTCCAATAATAGATAACTTCCCAGCAGCTGGAACCCCAGTGCTAATCCCTTCAAGTACATTATTTGGCAGGTGAGGGTAGTTTCTTATAAACTTTAAGAGCACAAAATTTCACAAATAAATGCTGCAAGCTATAAAGCCAGGACAGCAGAAATTCAGCTTCCACTAACAAGCTAAGACATGCAAAATATGAAGTCTGTTTAGTTAAAAACACCTCTGTACTTTTTAAATTGACTCATTTGTATCTAAATGCAGGCACCAGTACTTATTTGTACTTGTTTGTCTAATACAGACAAAACAGGAAAATGGCCTCACCTGCTTAACCAGAATATGTTAAATTCAAGGATTAACACAAAATAAAACCAAAAGTAGTGCTGATCCATCAGATTTTATGTTTATCTTACATAAACGTAAAAACATGCTCACCAGTGAGCTTATCTCGAACCCTGTTGATGATTTGAATTGCCTTCTTATTTAGAGCTTCTGGCTTCACTAGACCATCTCCTACTAAAAGGCAGAAGTAGGAAAGACAATTAGGACTTCATCTGAACAATAAAAATGTTTGTAATGCTGTTACATCGGCCCTTCCCAAATTACATAAATACCATTTTGAGAGTAAACGAACCCAGACACCAGTACATTTTCTGTCACCTTCTTTTTGGATTGAGAACACAGGTAATTACATTCCACATTTATGTTGATGAGGAACTGTATCTGTCCCATCTCATGGAATTGTATCTGGATCATCACGAAATTTTCTGATCTAAGAACAATTTCTGCATCGGTATAAAAGCAACAATGAAACTTACTGAAGGAATGGATGGATTCAGGCACTGTGGTCCCAGTTTTCTTATGGGCTGTCTCACCCAATTCCACACTGTCCAACATTTCTATTAAAAAAAACCACATGAAAACATAAAAGCATAAACGTGAAGCTGAAAAGCAGATAAAGTAACATTATTCTGGAAACATCAACAAAACTGTTAATCAGCTCATTTGAAAAGTATATTTGACTGTGACCAAGTGCACCACACATCTCCATCATTGATGGAAGCACATCACAGGAGCAAACATCCTTTTTTCCTGCTAACATACTGAAAGGCCTGATCCAACTTGTAGGAATGTTTTATATAAAAGTGTAATTGAAAGATATTTTGAAATGACGTTCAATTCATCTGAAACTACAATTAAATAAGTATGTTTGTTTGTAGAACCCTCCATATGAAGAGTCCAATAGCAAAGAGCTGCTAAGCTTCAATGCAAAGCTATCGATATTCAGTCAGACAACTATTGGCCAGGTTTTGCCCACTGATCTTTGGTAGCTAAATAAATAACTATCACATATAAATTATACGTTGCATTGCATCAGTTTGTATGTGCTCCAGAAGGGTGTTAATGTAACTGTAAAAGGAGCATCTGCTTTTTGAGCCAAAGTGCTGAACTCACCCCTTACAATCCTACAGCTCATGCTAATAAGCTGTTTATCTGTCTACTTTTGATAAGAGGACTGAAAATATTTACTCAGTCTTGTGCACTGCTAAAAAAACCACTCCAAACATCATGACATACATCATCTTTTCTACTCACCTACTGACTGACTAGCTGAGTAGGAGTCTGTTCTTGTTCGTGAGCGCTTATTGCCCTTTGTATTTGCTGCAAGAAAATAAGGAGTTGAAAAGTATGAAGTGGAGTTTCAGTGTTTCATAGCAAGTTTGTCCATAAACAACACAGATTTGACTGCCTTTCTCTTTCTCCAAATTCTGTCACCTGAAAATAGCCTTCAATCTGCTGATGACAATATTCAATACAAAACCAACCCAAATAGTTTTGCTTGTAGCTTAGTTTGACGTCTGTGTGGAAGGGCAAAAGGGTTTTAATTACTGTGGTATTTTCACATTACAATCCCTAAAACCGTGTGCACACAGAAATAGCACTTGCAAACCAACAATTTCACCAGATTGTCTTCAAACAGACATTGGATTTCAGGCTTCTGGATTTCCTGTATGAAATCAAGGCTGATTATTCTCTTGCTGTCACTGTTTCATCACAATCACTTACTGTCCATCAGCCGCCAGTTCAATAATGGATCATACACAAAGGCTTCAAGCACAGCCATGACACTGTCCTTATGTTCACGCAGGACTTCCATCACCGTGTGACAGGTGATTCTGTAATTGCCATCGAGGCCTGTCACCTGCAGAAGAGAAAGAAGCGAATCAACCACACTGCTTCGTTCACTCTGCAACTCCAACCCTAACAATTCAGGGACCAGGATGTGGCTTGTGCTTTGAAGAGGAATTCACTCCTACTATGCTTTGTTCATTAAGAGTACAAGATAGATGTTTATTCCAAACTAAGCAGCTCCCTTCTCCCATTATGACGATCTTTGGGAAGCACCATGCCATTGGCTGTGCCTAGTTGATGCAAACTGCTATCTGAAATAAGGAAACTAAGAAATTGGAGAAATTTCAGGGTTTTTTTGCATCAGTGAAAAAGTTGGTTTCCACTGTAATGTATTGTAAAGATCACAGAAGATATTTTAACTTACAGAAAATGCAGCTGATATATTAACACCTCTGGTTCTTGCAGAAGTAGCCACAACAGAAAATACAGGAAAAACTAAGAAATTGGTGCCATTTTCCCTAGGAACAATCCCCTTCATATTCAAGACAGGATGCTTACCTCCATAGCATTTGTCAGCATCCTTGTTAACCTAAATGGAATCTTCTCAGGAAACTTTTCTCTTGTCATTGCAACCTAAACATATGATGATGGAGAATTAGTAAATTAATAGCTAATTTAGTATTTAAGAGTTAATAAGTATTGGGGTTTTTTTTTGCTACAACCTTGGAGGTTGTAATCCAAATGGGAAATGAAGTGCCAGCTTTATGTTCCTCAGTTTCCACACATTTTTAGGAGAAACTAGATAATTAACTTGACAACAGAGAGAAAACTCAAGTGTGCGCACAGTTGCCACTGTCAAGTAACACAGACTGTCTACCAGTGGCTTAAATTGCTCTGAGAAATTTTATGGAAAAGTGATGTTAGCACTTCTTTGCTTCTTCCAGTGGTTAGCTAATCCCCAAGACAAGCCTCTGAGATAAAGTATCTATTATTTTCATCTTGCCTGCAGGTATAGTGAAGCCCAAAAGAGACAAAGGACTTGCCCAGGATCACACTTCAAGGTCAGTTTGTCCTGGCTTATAGATTCATTTCTGTTCCACCAGAAAATGTGAAATATTACAGAAAATTTAATGTCCAAATACAAAGATTTACCTCAAAACAGTCCCCAAAGTCAATATGCAGGATCTTTCCACTCAGTCTGTCTAACATCAGATTGGAGGGATGTCTTTGATGAAGGAGCAGGAGAAAAAACAGAGTGACAGACCATTATAAAAAGCCAAAGTAAATCACAGCAGCTCCAGACTGAAATGATATTTATCTTCATGAAAAAGAACAGGCAGAGATAGCTTGCTTGTCTGAGATCTTCAATCTCAGGATGAACAGAATAGCTTCCTGACAGTGCATCTATCACATTATTTTTGTAATTACCTCTCAGGAGTTAGAGAATTTCTCACCTTGGAAGATAAACAACCTATTGGACCAGAGCCATCAGTACATTTTGTACATTTATTTTTCAGTTAGGATAAATCCTTCTTACTTGTTTTATGTTTTTATACTTTAAATCTAAAATATAAAGTATTTTGGAAGCTATGATGTCCCCTTCTGACAGTAAGCCATTTACTAAATCAAACTTTTTTTTTTTTCATTTGTCCAATCCATTTGGATTGTACATACTTCCCTCCGGAACATGGCTGCATTGCAGATCAGAAGCACCACCATGTTAAATAGTATTTAAACCAACATTAACTTTCATTCATTTTAAGTCTAGAGTGGCCTTTGGGGAGTATTTATGGGGACTTCATATGTCTCTAACAACTGCTGTGAGCATGTAATGCCCCTGCTTCACAGAATAAGTATCCATCAGGCAGAAAAAGTACGCAGAATAAGTAATGTTAGTGAACCCATTCGGAGGGAGAATGAGAAGGCTTCTGCCACTAAACACTTTCTGGATTTCTTTTTGCTACTTCAGGGAACAAAAACTGATGCTTGATCATGGTGCTTCTTTCTTCCCCAAAAAGCTGGATGTATGTGTACAATCCTAACAGACTTTGCAAAAAAAATTGCCATCTCATATGCATGAAGCACACACCAAACATTGGTGGCAGAAGTCAACAACGTATTTCTGTTTTATAGAATGGATAAAGAGAGATTTCCTATTCTGTGAGTGAAAGGACAAATTAGAACCTGTAGTCCTTGATGTAATTCTGTGTGCATTCCTCTCAAAATGGAAGAAACTCTTATTTGCACTCAAGATACACAAACCCTACACGTCATGCCTGCAGTACTGAAAATAATGGCAGCACAATTGGTCCTGAAAGATGGTATCATCTCAACTCAGCAATAACCACAATGGAAGATGTTATCATAAGCACAGATAAGGAATGAATCAATAGGCCTACACAGTCTGTGCTTTTATTTAAAAGAAACCTTTACAATTTCACTTACCTGTCCCCAAGGCCCAAAATGTATCCAACCATTGACATTACAGCTAGTGAACGAGTGTAGTTTGTTCTTCTATCAAACCACACCTGCAAGTGGAGACAAAAACAGAAAAAGCCAGGCAGGCATGTTGCATATTTCAGCTTATATTTTAGTTTATACATTAACTACTTGCATTTTGCACAAAGCAAAATGCGATATGCTTAGGTTCAACACACTCCACGAGCCTGAAAGGGTTCGAACATCCTGTGGCCTTGAATATATTCTCAGAATATATTCTGAGGCTCCTGCTTTTCTCTCTCCATGCACGGTATCTGGAGCTCCAGTCTTGAGCTTCAGACTGCACTGTGGCAGGCATTGTGATCTGAGCCTTGTAAGGCCCCTTGGGAGGGTATGCACATGATGAATAAACACCGTCTCACTCACTGTGCAGAGAAGGTAATTCCACATCATGCTGATAGCCAAACACAAGCCATGACGTCCTGAACTCACCTCTGAGCTTGGACTTTTCAACCACAGCAGTTTGGCAAGATCATCACCAGCTGTGTTATTGACAGCGTGTTCAAATACTTCTACTTTCTGCATCAGAGTCAGGTGGTCATAATCTGGAGCCATCTATAATTGAGAAGTGACACTCAGCAACTTAAAAAAACCTACCTGCAGTAATCTCTAGTTTTACTATAAGAAACACAGTAATTACAAATAATTTCAAGATAAACTCGATATGAAATTATTTGTAGACTGACCAGTTTGTTCCCAAACACAGTGAGATGACTAATCAAAAGTGAAGAACTCATTTTAAATGGGATGGCAAATGATTTAGCATCCACAAAGCATTCCATAGCCATATTTAATTAAAATACTGTGAAGGTAAACATGTTTCCAAAAACATTATCCAAGGAAGTCTTCTGGGTTGGCACATGCTTTCCTTTTTGGCAGGCAATTCTAGCTTTTCTAGTAATGTTTGTTTTCTCCAGTCTGTCTAATCGTGACTCTGTTGCTTAGACACCATGTTTGCAAATGCCAGCAGCACGCGCTTGGTATAAGGCACATCATAGTCACACAAAATCCCAAACACAGTTTAGTCACCAGATGGTAACAACTCATGGTCTCTGCTAAAACAGGAAAGGAGAAGCAAATAAAGGCATGGCCAATTTTACCTCTTGGTAGCATTTTATAATTGTTATGATATTTTTGCATTTATTACTGATCTCAATAACAATCAGAGAACAGGCAGAGGAAGAACAAGCTGGGCACCATTAATCTTCACTAAGCACTGGAGTCCTAAAAGAATGCACCAAAGACTCTGCCAGCTTTGCCCTTTACCCTCAGCATGATGCGATGTTCAATGTTGAGCAGGATCTTTTTCTTCTCCCTGTAGTCTCGGATGAGTGCATGCAGTGTGTCACAGTGGGGGACCCAACCAATCAAGCCTGAATTTGTAGACAGTGGAATAACAGCATATCTCTGGATGCTACAGGAAAAAAGGGAGAATCAGAGCACAAATTGTTGCATGTTGTGAATTATTACATTTTGAGATGCTTAAAACAACTACTACTAAATCTGATTCTGATTCAAATTGTCTCTTCAGTAGCTGCTCTGCTTTTCTTCTTTTCAAACAGACCTGAACCATTGATTTGGACAGATTGCTGCCAGGTAATCTACGGACACTGTCAAAGCTTACGTGGTTTTCACTGAAAGACTGCTTTCAGAAGGTACATCTTATGTCACCCACGATGATCTAGTATTTGCATATGACATTTGATATGTTCGTGTTTGAAAGACACGGTACAGAACTGCAGCCAGTGACTATTCACCAAGCTATTTAGTGACTGTAATAAAAAACGTCGACAAAACCTCCTGTTCTTGGGCTCTTAAGGCAGCACTCAAGTTCTCTTGAAATAGGGGTTAAAGACCATAACTATTTACGAGATGGGACTTCAATTAAATAAAACAATCCCCTCAGGATACCTTTCCTCCAAGTTTGAATTCTATGAATGTTTTCTTCTTTGTGGTTTTCGGTTGGTTGTTGGTTTTTTTTTTTCTTTTCTTGTTGTTTTTTGTTATTGTTGTGTTGGGTTTTTTTTAATTAACTTAGTTCCAAAATTTTTCATTTCCTCACAAACCAGCTGGTTGTGCTAAGGATTACTTGGAAACTGCACCTATACAGAGTGTCATTTTTGCATAAGTATCTTCAATGATTATCCACAGCGCACACCTGAGGTTTTTGCGAAGAGAAGTTGGGTCATTTGCAAGCAGAGTGTTGACCAACCCAAAAAGCTGCATCACTCTTTCATCTTGGCGAAGGTCTTCATGACCTTTCAGAAGGAATACAAACTCATGCCCATTGCTTCCTGTGAAAGAATTAACACACAAAAGTTTACTCCTGCTGAAAAGAGTAAATACACATGCACCCAAGAACTGGAACGCGTGTCAGACTGACCAGACCGCTGAGAAATATCTCACCTGAAAGGAAATGTTGGAGAGCTTTTACCTGCTAAATATGCAGTTTGACCTAAAAACAAAGACTGTTTAAATACCAGAATAGCTAAGTGAAAGCTGCTCTCTCTTACCCATCAATGTCAACTTCCTGGGCCGCTGCTTGGAGGTGATGACCTGCAGTGAGGGTGCAATGGACTGAATGCGTATGATGGGCTGGTTGGGATCATATGTTCCTGGCACTGCCAATTCCAGGTCCCGGCACATCAAGAGTTTTGGTGACACATACTGTAGTTCCAAAGAAGTGAGCTACCAAAAAGAAAAGAAATACAACCCCCTAGAATTTCAGTTCAATCTCACTGAAGCATCTGAAGAGTTCAGGCTGTCAAGGGACCTGGAAGGGTTCAGTCAGACACCAATACTTCATACACTTGCAGGAAGCGCTGCATAAGCAGCAAACTTGCAGCAAATCATATGCAGTTATTTCCAGAATACTGAATTTGAATGTGCTGAATAACCAGAAAACATGAAGCAAAGATTGGTATTGACAACTTGCACTGTAAGACCCGCAACAGAGCTGTACCTCTCCCCCCACCTGAGGCAGCTGCTTTGAGATACGCCGGAACACGTGGTAATAGAGATCCCAAGCCTGAGTCAGGTCTTTGACATTTCCTGATTTCATGTACTTCCTGCACCATTCCTGAGCTTCCATTAGATCTCTGCCATAGGCCTAGGGAGGAAGTGAAAAACAACAGAATAAAAACATTTCTACTGACAATAGTGGAACAGGTGGAGACCACTTAATACCTACAAAGAGCATCACAGTCTATTTTCAAATTGTATTACAAATACTTGATCTCACATTTTTATAGCATAACAGAATTAAAGATCCAGAAATTCCTGGATCCAAGGCATGCACTGAATTTATCAGACAACGTTGTTCACAAATAAACTTCATGACAGGAGGCAACAAACAAATAGCATCACCCTTTAACAGTAGGCTCACAAGCTCAAATTAATTCCTTTTGCTGGCTTGAGAGAGGTCATCTCTACTATCTGTTATAGTAGTTACCATGAAGCAAAGCAGACCGGTGCTAGAAGAATTAACTGCAGAGCAGTTGTGTGTTTTCCAGACCCTATCAGACACCCAGCTGACATGACTCCAGAGCAATCCGTGCTACCATGGCCCCTGTAGTACTGTAGTCACCAAAAGCTCTATGATTCTATGATACAGATCTGAAGACAAATGTCAATAATGAAGTCTGCAACTAATGCAACAAATCCCAAGAGATTTACTCCTTGTGTTAGATTGCAAAGGTCCTTGTAACACATCCCAGGTAGGTGGCTGTCCTGCCTGTTTTTGAGAGCAGGCAGAAGCTTATGCTCTTGGTCATTTGCTCATACCTGATTGAAGGATGTCTCTTTTAAAGTTTGAGGCCCACGCTCCATCATTGCATGAAGTGGTTCCAGCACCTCAAACATCCCCTTGACGTTCCTCTCTCCAAAGTAGAGACGAGATGCTTCTTCCAACCCTTCATGCCACATCTCATGCCATAGGATGGCTACACGGATTAGCTCTTCGCTCACCTATTTCAGGACAGGAAAAAGATTAAACACCTAAAGAAAAAGACTATGACTGCATACTGACCCACAAATTCAAAACCGCTTTCTTCTCTAATGATTATGAAATACTTGTTGCTGGCAGCTAGAGGGAGCCACAAGAACTCCCACAATGCTGTTACACTTTTTTCTGCAAGAAGCTGATCAGACTTTTCTCATCTTATTAGTTGCCTTTGAAATTTTCCATATATTTGTGTAGCTTGGCCTGAAAGCATTACTTTTCATTTATTCACAAAAATCTTTAGCAAATGAATTAAATTACTATTTCCATGCTATGCTTGGTAAGTTTTGTTTTCACTTTTCACTAAGCAAAATCTTTCTTTATGGAACAATGATTCTTCATTTGTTTCTTCTCTAAATTTGTTCATAAGGAGACACAAGAACTCAGTGCTTGAACACTATGGTCCTTTTTATATGAAAGCTTTCTCTTGAAATTATGCTAATACTGTAACTTCTACCAGTTGCAAAAAACCTAAATTAATTGTACTTGAATGAAATTAACAATAAATAGTCATTTTGTGTTATTACAGCTGTGGTACATCCATTCCTGAAACACAATACGCTTTATGGCACGCTGAGCACTCACCATCATTGCCTGCTGCACCAGAGTGTTACTATGCTCACACATGTTTTTCAAGATCTTATTTGCAGCGTTGTGGCGAGCAGTGGTTGTAGATTTCGAGGCCACAGTCAAAGGATAGATCAAAGCCTACAAAGGACATCAACCAATTAAAATTTTAGAACCGCACAGAAGAGTTACATAAATTGAAAGATTAGCAAAGCAGTAATAAACAGCAGCCTTAGGGCTAGACAAGAGAGAGCAAGCTTGCTTCTGGAAAGAGGTGATAGGAATTTGCTACTTAAAGTCTTCCAATCTGAAAAGCTTACAAGACTTTAATTCACTGAGTAGCATAATGACTTTGAGAGCCTGTATTAAAGTGGAAGAACAAAAAATTGGTTTTAGTATTTTGTGATTTTCCACACTGTAGGAAGCAATTCAGATAAAACATCTGTGAGATAGCCACTTAATGAGATTTAAGAAGGCTATTTGCACTGCCTAGTGTTCTATTAGATAGAGACAACTTCCCCTGTTGCATGGCTCATCCACTTCTTTCCATTTTTATGTGAACAGTGTTAAGCTGAAAGAAGCAGCAGCAGAAATAGTCCCCACCCTCACTTGCTGTGACTTCCAGTGCAGGCATCTAGACTACGTGAAATGGAACACAGGAAATGCCTTTTTTGGCTGTCAGTCTACGGAAATTCCTCCTCAGAGTCAAAGCTTACCTGGGGATGGTACCGTCCAATATCTGTGAGGAGCTGATGAATGAGACGTCCTACTAACGGTCGAGGGGTGTCAATTCTTGCAATGAGCTGAGGGATAACCTAGTAGTAAGGATAAATAAAATAAACATCCCTGACATCTCATATGGTTAGTTCACAAGCTGTTCTGCCCTCTGGTAGAGACCTCAGTCTCTAAAGGCAGCAGAGAGGCCCACCACTCATTTTTGAGATGGTCAGAGGATAACACCAAGTTCCAAACAGTGTCAGAAATACAGAATAGCTCAGTGAGATGACAAGTGTTCTGTGCAAAACTGTTACAGGATCCTCTTACAGAAAGAGTAAGACGTGTCTTGAAGTGTAATGCTTAAATAAGAAATAAAGCTTTTTTTTATTAATTTACAAGAACATTGTACAAAGCAATCTTGAAATAGACTGACTGTCTGAATTACATCAGAGCAGCACAGTAGCGTTTTATACTTGATCACTACTGAATGCATGTCACCTTCAATTTTAAAATTTTAATTTTCTCATTCATATGCAATAATCTGCATATAAACACAGAAATGCATGCAATTTCTCATGCCTCTGTTGAGGATGCTTCTTAAATTAGTTGAATTGTACTGCACACTGCTCTCACCACTCACTTAGGGAGGATTGTTTAGCAAACAATCATCATTGATACGATGTAACAAATCCCCAAGCTCCCCCACAACTGAGATTTGTCTTAGCCCTTTGTGTTCCTTACCTGCAGCCAAGTGTCTATTTGGATTGCCTTGACTCCTTCTACCAAAGCCTCATTCACATCGGGCCAGTGACCATAGTCAAACCACAGAGTAAGGACTCTGAAAAAGAGAAATACATTTGTTAAGAATGAAAAACCCATTCCAATCAAATATCTTCAGACCCATTTATAAGTGACTCCTCTTCCCAGAGCCTAGAGACAGTAGGATAAGGGCTAATCCACCTAACATAAATTAGCTTGGACTGAAGCATTCACTTAGTTTAACCATAACAAAAAAGAACAGAAACAGGTTCTGCCTAACCTTAAACCATATGCCCTTATCAGACAGATTTCTTTTACTATGTGCTTTACTATGTACCTTAGAGTGTCTTGTAGGTTGTTTCCTCGAGACAAAGATATGGATCGAAAGAAACCTTGGACAGCAGGGACCGTATACATCAAGAGGGTCTTGGATAAATCCTTTTGGAATGAAAATCACTGCATTAGTTCTACACAAGTGCATGAATACTAAACTCAGCAAGGAGAAAGAGGAAGAAATACGTAGAAACAGAGACTTAATCCACATTATAGTTGAATTCTGCTCATACTCCTCAGAGGACATGTTGCTCCTGGAATTTATGTTTTGCTTGACTACACACAGGTCTTTCAGCCTACCAGAGAACATACTGTGAAGTGTTTTTATACTTCAGTTTGTTGGAAAAACTATGGAGAGCAAAGCAGCATAAAAACTACAACTTTACTATAACTAGTAAGTAAAAGATATTCCTCACAGTCTTTCATGAAGGGCTAAAACAGCAGAACTTGTTAATGCACATTGTATCACCTATAATAGCCACCCATGCCTTTGCTTTAGTTACAGCTAACTTAAATGATCGTTTGTGTTAATTTAGTCCTTTTCCCTTAAGACTGAGTTATCCTAAACTTTCTCACTTTTGCTGTAAGCTTTGAGCATGTATATGTATGAGTGTATACATTATATATATCTATATATAGATATCTATGTATAGAAACACACAGCTTCCACAAGCCAGGTATGCATAGTAGCTTTTTCCCAGCCATAAAGTTTTCCTGCATCTAAGCAGTAAGTTCCAATCTCTCGACATAAACAGGGAGGAAGGGTACCTCCGTGACTTTTTTCTGCACTGGCGATGGGATGGGACTGTTCTCTGTGCTCTCTGCATCACTCTCACTATTGCTGCCCTCGGTGTTGGCACTGGTGATGCTGGCTCCACTGGCATGACGCAGTTTCTTCTTCTCATCTCTGGCCTGGTTTTGATGTTTGTAGTGAAGCACTGCTTCAAAGTTCATCACTGCCCAGGCATGCCAGGCCTGCCAACAAGAGAGAACACAAAAGTCAGAAGGAAGATGAATCGTTTTTGCAACCTGTGCTGTTTAATTATTAGAGATAATAATCCAACCTTTCTGAGTGCATGGACAACAGTAATACCCTGCAGACAACACAATGCTTTGCTTCCTCTAATCATTTGTAATTTTAACTGCCTCATTATCTTAAATAACATCATGGTGAGTTCTTGGCCAGGAGCTCCCTGTTGGATATTAAGGCAAAGGAGCTCTGTAGCAAAAATTAAGTCACATACACCTTAATTTTCCAAAGGTTAAAATGAAGATTAATATGTTAGGACTAGGGGAGGTGCAATGGGAAGAAATGCAGGAGATGGCTGCCCCAGAGAAGATCTGGCATCAAATATTAATTGAAATGCACAAGCCTGAAATCAAAGGCTCTTTGGAGAATTAGCAACAAGGCTACTTTCCTAGTTCAAGTATATTGAGTGAGAACAAGTTAAATTTTTTCCATTTAGATTATCCTTTCTCCTTCACTATTAACTGACAGGACAGAAACTCCCAAGAGTAAGAATAGGAACTGAATTGTGCACTAGTTTTTCTAGCCAGATAAAATTCTAAACAAGAATCTCATGGTTGCCTTGGTCTGCTTTCTCTGTTTTTTTTTTAATCCTGCTTAACAGTAACAAGGCAGACAGTTATAAGATCTTTGTATGAACATCTTCCTTTCCTGAAGTATGGGATGTGATCAAATTTACTGGTCTCTCTGCTATGGTGCCTGGAAGCTTTTCCTTACTGACCTTGTACCAGTTGCGATCATGCTCTGTTGCAGCACTGTAGTACTGCAAGACTTTGGGGATGGTACTCTCATTGATGCCTTGCAGGTTCAGCTGCCACTCACCCAGCTTCAGGAAACACCTGGTAAAGCAAAGTGATTATTGACTTAGAACCTTGAATGAAGATGAAGCCTGCTGGATTAAGAGGCAGACTTATCCGAAGTCTGAAAGACATTTCATGTCATAAACCCGCTCAGTAAGCCTCTTCTGCAGACTGGGAGCATGTGTGTTAACATGTAAGGTTCAAATCAGTCACATCCTGCTTGTAAGCGTTGAGCTAACTAGTTAGTAGTTTAACTTTTAAGGGGAAAGGTGATGGTCAAACTTTGTTCCTCATTTATATCAATTATAAAATAAATGTAAGAACTAGCTAACAGTAGCATCAAAAGACTTCATCAGTATTGATAAAACACACAGAGCACATGTTCTGGCTAGCTATACATATCACCATACGAACAAACCTTCTGGAGAGAACACCATGACAGACAGCAGTGGAAACACAGAGCAACTGCTCTTCCTGCAAGCCAGAACCCCATTAAGTCATCCCGTCCCTGAAGAAAGGAAAAAGAACATATTTTTACTGCAGCAGGGCGGGGCTGTGAAGGTTTATGCAAAGCTTAATACTTTGCTCCCTCAGCAGGCTTTAAATACCACAGTTACACAGCTGTCCTTTCTATATTTTGAGTTTTCCAAAAGCATTGTGCAAGGAAAATATTGTGTGCAACTCATTACTAATCTGTCTTGCATGATAGTCACTCTGAGAAAAATAAGACTATGCTGTTATCAAGTTCCCATTCTCACAAAAGCAAATTAAGGGCATGCCTCCCTTGGAAAAAACAAAAACAAAAAGCAAACCTTCGGTAGTAAGCACTATGCAATTTCTGCTTTAAATTGGAAACAACGGATGTGGCACTTCCAGATCCGCAGAGGAGAATGGAGATTATAAGATGTGTTTTTAATGCAACAATATTTTAAGAGACCATCACATGCTGGGCACCTACTGCCCAAAGCACTGCTGTTGTATTAAGGGCACACGCTGCCAAGCACAGACATGCCAGGCATGTGGAAGTGTTTCTTTCCTACTGACTGGACCTCCTAAAACCCAAAGAAACAGCTACACTGAGAGCTCTGCCTCCTGCCAGTGAGCCAGTGCTGGAAAAACAAAACCAGCCACCAGTGACAGATACAAGCTTGTTTATGCTGATGTGTCACAATAACATTTACTGAAATTATACGATTGATAAAAAACTGTAATACCAAATGGGTCTCTAACAGCTAAATGAGAAATCCCCTGTCCTTTTCAATCAAAGCGTGGACCCTGCAACCTCAGGAAAGACATCAGTTTCACTACATAGCTGAGGGGAGTCCAAGGCCCAGGTGCTGACCGTGCCATGAGCTTGTGGAGTTCCTGCTTATGCTGCTGGTCCTCTGTCGCGATAGCATGCTGTGCCTGCTGCTGCATGGTCTGCACGAAGTGCTGCATGTGCTGGAATGCATCAATCTGTAATCAGAGGACAGTTGCATTAAGGACCACGGAGGTTAAATACAACTTCACAAGAGAGGAAGACAATACAGGTTTTTGATATTTTTGTTTTTTCCTCAAAGCCCATTAGCCATTTACATCTTTTTAAAATCAGTTTATGTTCTACATATGTGGCACCAAATAAATGAAGAGGTTAGAGATTCTTGATGTCTCAGACATCTGGCCACTGAATTGCTATGCTGAGGAACAACTAACTGCATTCTACTGATGCTAGGGACACCCTCATGGCATACATACAGTCAAAAGCATGACTGACCACACCATGAGCTAACACTGCGCTCTGATGTGCAAGAGCTCAACTCTGGCAAAGAGAAACAGCCAACTCTGTAAGAAGAAAACTTCAGCAGCAGAGAATGTCCTGTTACTGCTCATGCAGAGTGAGATTCTAGTAATGATACAGAGATGTCTCATTTGCAATAGAGCACGCACCCCAAAGAGCAGCAATTTCAACAATCAAACAAATGTCCATAGCTTACAAACTATATCTGACCAAGTCACTATCATAACAGGCAGGATCAGAGATCCAGAGAAGCCTATCTATAACATGATACAGCCTGAAAAAAAAAAAATTGGAGAAAATAATGCCTGAAGGAAAACTTGCAGCTTCCTGATCTTCCCTCCTAAACCCTCAGCTTTGGCTAGGCTTACAGTACATACCACGGCACAAAAACATTGAGTTATTTCAACAAATTAAATTTGAGATTTCTCTTAAAGTTGTTTAAGAAGTACAAGTGTACATTGGTCCTTTGCCAGCAGATTACATAAGGCAGTAGTGTTAAAGCAACTCACACTACCAAATTTTGAGGTAAGCCTCTTTTGAAATTCCTTGGAAAGAATTATGGGCTAAGATAACCTGAAATTAAAGATTTAAGAAAAAAAAAACTATACACGCTTCACTGGAAACAATTAGAGTAAAGCTCTTGCAATCTGCAAGGTCATTTCAGGTCAGAAACCGCAGAATATGCTATTAAGAGTCCAATTTACTCCTGTTCCATCTACAGGAATGAGCTGCTTTAAAAGTGCAAGAAGAATCACCTGAGCTGAAATGCCTCATCTATTCCATTCAAATATCAGCATGCCCAAGTCAATTGTCAGGAAAAAGCGTATTAGTCCAGGATGAAATAAAAGAAAGTATCATACTGTTAATATTAACAGGGTGCATTCCACAGCTTGTAACCTGGATACTTGGCTAGAAGAGGAGGGGGAAATAGCAATCTTACAGTTACACTGTTACGCTAGACGTTTGTGAAAAATAGGCAAAAATATATTGCCAAACAGTTATGTGCCCCTCGTATCTAGACACACCCAACAATCTGCTCTTCAGTTTCCATTAACATTGAAAACTGATCACCATAAACTGACAGGCAGAGCACTTAAGATGGACAGCAGTAAGTTTTCTTTAACAGTTGAACTCTGTATGTCTGTAGAACGCAGCTGCTGGCAAACGTCCTGTTAGAAGAAATGCAATAGGGTTTACTTCTCCATCCTTTTATCTCTTTTAGAAGAAAAGATTGTTGTGCCACTCTGCTACTGCTAGGCAGTTGGTTTCCATCCAGATGCCATTTTTTTCCTGCTGGATCTGGCAAGTGCCAAAATGACGGTGAAGAAAACATTTCAGGTCCACCAAGCAACCTTGAGCTCCTCAGCTACAGAAAATGGTCATTCCCTGCCATGCCAGCCTACCTCAGCAGCTTATTACTTAAGATGCCAAACCAAGTGAACACACACAGTTATATAAAACTCTGGTCTACATACATCAGTAGGTATAACTATGTATTATTTAGTTAATGATAGTCACTCAAAATAAGACATAAGGATACACCCATCCATGTAATGCTCCTGGTACCAGAATTCCCTAAACAATTTCAGTGTTTGGTATAAACAAACGCTTTAGTCTCACTCCAGACTCCAAACATGAATCACATCCATCCCTCCTCCTCATCTTTGCTGCTTCTCTAATATTTTTTTCCTGTCCTCATGAGCTCCACATATTCTCCCATCAGTTTATTTAGATATATTCTCTTTCCCCATCCCCTTAACCTTTGTGTCTTCTTTCATTCTGCTTTCTACAACTGCAGCAGTTTCCTGCATCTTATCTATTTCTTTATCACAGGTCAAACACAGAAAAGGCCAGTTTGACTCAAAGAGGCAGGCAGATCAGACCCATATACTTCTTAGGTCATTTTCTTAGGTCAGAAAGTAAGAAACCATCCATTACACTGTTTTACAAAGCCAATAGAACAGGGCCTCATCAGCAGCTCCTTCTGTTTTTTAAATTCAAATAAAGAATAGTTAGGTCATGGCAATGATCCCATAGCAATGGCTCTGCTCCAGTGCTGGCAATCCCAAAGACAGGAAAAATAAAAAAGATGTGGCAGAATATGAGGATAAATGGAGGCTTTAATGTATATTAAAAAAAGATAAGTTACCCAGTCTGGAGCTTATTGGATTTGATTATGTAAATTCTCCCTGTGTTGCAATGTCAAAAACATTCACCCTAGGCTCCATGAAGCCAAATTGTTCCCATGACAAAGCCCTATGTACTTTTCAGCTGTCTTTCGGTTAGAAATTTTCAATAATGTCCTTAACAAGACTCAGTTCTGCTCAACAACTAAGTACAAACTGTTCAGGATACTCTTTTAAAACCAGTAATAAAAAAACACCTTACTTCTCTCTTTCAGCATGTAGCCCTGACCATAGGTACAGCGTGGAGATCTGGCAATCAGAACAGTGGACAAAAAGTCAAGTACCAAGCCTACATAGTAAAATCCTGGTGAGGACAGAAGAGCTACTATTGATCATTAATCTTGGCTGCAACTCTTGAGTACCTGATACTGGTTTAGCAAAAATAATCTTTCTGTGTAGGAAATAAAATTAGGGCAAGGCTTTCTCTGTCTCTAGAGAGTTTTGTAGTAACATTTCAAAAGCTTATCTTCTGAATAACAATAAGGAAAGGGATTAGTTACTCTTTTTTAGGTGAATAAAAATAAAGCCTTCAGCCTTGGATTTGTTCTGTAGAAATTATGAAGAACTAACGTGTGTGGCACTGCACAAAACCTGAGAAATGAAACAGAGTACTATGTTCTTTTGTACCTTGCGGGCACTCTTCCACATGTGCTTCATGTAGGCATAGGTCACTTGAGGATGTACTGTTGGCAGTGGGTGATCCAGCTGTCGAGATGGATCTACTCCCAAGAGCAGGACAAGTGTCTTATGGGCCAAAGCCTGGAGAAGGTTGCAAAGCGAAAAAGTAGGTTGAAACAAGCTCAATCTTACCTCCATTTCATATTGACTGCGGAATTGCCTGCCACTAAAAAATACCTCTGACCCCCCAGATAAAACACAGACGTAGCAGCTTTATTACCATTCCATGGACTCATAAGAATATCACAGGATAAGCCATATATCTTCATTGGGATCAGAGCATTAGATTCTCATTTCAGAAGCCAGTAGAGAGTGTGAAGTCTCTGTTTCAAGTATTTTTGGTAATAAATCTTGTGGTGAATATTGAAGTAGGATTGTCATGTTCAACAATAACAACATCACACTCTAGATAAGAAAAAGAGTGCTTCAGCAGAGAGAGCTATTGTTAATAATTACTAGTGCTGCATGGAAAGTTTCAGGTATAGCATGCAACAGAAAATTGGCTCTAAGGCTCTCAGGTATAATACAAGTCCCACAAAATAATCTTGGCTACAAACACGAACTCCACACTGGTTACAGTTTTAGTATTTCAACAATTTCTAACCAGTCCCCTCCTCAGAGGAGAGCCCATCTCACTTGGGCAATGAAAGTATTTGGAAGCGCTCAAGGCTGAAGCAGCATGACAGAGCTAACGATCTAAAAATCTGCAGTAGAGGGTAGAGCTTGGTAATGCTCACCAGTCTCCCACTCTTGCCACACAAGCTGGCATACTTGAGCCAAGTTCTCATGTCCTCATGAGGATTCACAACAAGAGATCGGACCATCAGTATTCTTTGCCAGTCTTCCACAATTCGTTGACAGCCCTGAGATAAAAAGGAAGAGAACTCGTTAGCATTTTATCTCCAATCTACTCCACTCCACAGAGCCTTAATTCAGAATCTGAAGGGACTTTTCCCAAGATGGAGAAGCTTCTGTACCCATAATTCACAGCAGGCCAACATTACCAACTAGCTGGCTATTTAACACTGCAATGTGTGAAGAAGGTTAAGTCCTTGACTCTTGTTCTCTGCAGCCAGCTCAGAGTTTGCAGTCTAATGATAGCGTCTAATGGAAAAAGGAGGAAAACTCCTAAAACAGAAATGCATCCAAAAATCAAGAAAGCTCTTTGTGCAATTCCAAAATGGGTCAAGAGTTTTATAACCCTTCTCAACTTAGCTTTAAAGCCTAGTTTTGGTTTAAATAGTGACAAGTCTCAATATGCAGATGGTACAAAAGCAAACGGTTGCAAAGATATTTTTGTTATTGCCCTTTTTCTTATCCTTGCATGTGTTGCTTTTAGAGGCTGGCATGACTGAACTGGTATTCTGCCAGAAACTGCAGTTCCAACTGCTCTGCTGCTTGTGCAAGCATTGTCTGGTTCTTGTCTGTCTGAAGGGAGAGGCACAACAACACTGTCAGTCAGAGCAGGACGAGTCTGTTTCAAACATTCAAGGATGCTACAGAGAAGGAGAATTGTGGACGAGAGAGTAACAACCACATACATAGTGCTTGCTGTAACGGCCAAATACTTCAGGGTAAGAGTGATGCTCTGAAGTTCAGATTAATCCAGAGATGACTTAGACTTGGGTTTGAGATAAACAAAACAATTTCCAATGGCAGCAAGCACCTTAGCACCAAAACATCCATTTCTTTCCCTTTCTCTTTTTCCCCAAAATTGAGGGCTGGGAAGTTAGGCAAAACTTGTTCTCTAACATCCAAATAAACCTCACCCAGCAGGCATTTTAAAATTATTAAAAAGCAGCTATAAAATGTGCAAGAACTGTATGTACTGCTTTCAAGACTATAAACAGCTGTATTCAGACATTACATTTCCTGTCACTCTCAGTTTCTCCACCCCAGTGGAATGCTCCTGAGCTTTTCCAGACAGGAATACAGTTTCCCAAACAGCTAAAAAATATGTAGCCGCAACAGCCTTTCATAAGAAGGCAGATATAGCAGCCACAGTGAAGAACTCCACGTAGGGAGAAATTCTTCCTTCAGGCCAGGTACCAAAATTTGGTATAAAGAGAGCATTTTACCCTAATTACGCTTCCCCCCCGCCCTTCCCTTGCAGGAATCATCTCTTTAAACAGTATTCCTGTATGTACTACTACATCTGTTGATGTTCACTTTCACTGTAGGGATGCCTCTTGTACAGAAATAGTCTCAAAATATCTGGCTGATTTAAATCTTCAGAGGTGCTTAGGATTTTTGCTGTTTAGAGTAACACTGAGATAAGCAGCCTTGGAGATGTTACTAGCATCTCCATTCTGTAGGCATCTATTTCAAGGCTTAAGTCACCCTACTGAAGCCTCAAATCAGGAGACACATCAGGAATATTAACAAAAGCAAACAAACAAACAGAAAGCCCAAATAACCAGGACAAACACAAAGGGGACAGAGAGCATGCAGGCATGTAAGCATATATGCTATTGGTATAGAAAGAGAAATTGAACTTGCTGAGCCATCACGCTGACTAGAAAGGAAGCTGTTCATGCCAGCACATCATCATCTCCATCTCTGATCTTTACACAGACGTACCTGCAGTCTTTCCCACCAGATCTGGCGGATGATCTCACGGCGTTCTGGTACAAGTTTATACTGGATAACCTCTTCCAGCTCTGACAGCATCTGACAGGATACCATGGCCTGAAGGAAACAATCACATTCCATCCCAATCACTACAGAACAAATCTATAATTAAGAAGCAGTATTTTGGCATCAAAATCTTAAGTACATACGCTGCCCAACAGGTAAAGAACAGACTGCTATATACTGGTACCTAGATGATCTGCTGATTCAAACTTTCTAAACGTCAATTCTTGTTTCTTTTAAGGCGGGGGAGCTCACTTCACTGTTTGATTTGTCCCAGAGCTGCTCCTGCAAAGTTGTATCTCTTATCTGACAAAAACCATTTAGCTTGTGAGCCTACACAGGTTTTATGTTTGGTATAAGTGCTACAAGAAGGTTTATGCAACTTCTAGAGAGAGTCTGAAGCAGCAATGAGGAGAATGAAGGCTGAGGCAGACACTTACCCCATAGGCTCGACTGTAGCTCTCTCCTGCCATGGCAGTCAGCTCAGCATCTAGCAGATCTCTGGCTTTGTCAATGCACTGAAATAGAACGTGACATCAGGGCAAAGGTGGTATGTTTTATCTGGAGTCAACTGTTGAAACTGCTTTTCATCTGTTCCATCTCATAAACAAAGCTGGCATTGTTCCCATTCTTCAACAAGAATCAGGAAAGGACGTTATCAACAGAAAGAATCAATAGGAAAACAGTGTCCAGGGGCAGGTATAGGGAAAGCCAAGGGGGCTTCATTTATCACCTGCACAGTCTAAAGTCTGTCTTTCTACCAAATAAAAGTTTGCAGTATTTCTAATCCTACTGTCATTGTAGAGGTCATCATTAATAACATTTATACAGGAAGAGAGACGTTCACATTTTAGTGCAAGAGAGCTGGTTACAAAAAAGCCCCAAGAAATGTCTCTTGATAATATACAATGATAGGAAATAGCTTTCTGTTTTATGTAACCTAACAGGTTTTCATGAATTTTACAGGACAGCAAATTCCATTTCTCTTCCTGCAACTAAGGCATGCTCTTCAAGCATGAAATAAATTCTGCCCTGGTTCCAGTCATTATATAATCTCTAATCTATAGTTTTTTCCTGTTCAAAACGTTGAAGTTTAATCACAAACTCTACCCCTTGGAATGCCTGGCTAATTTCACTGTGCATATCACCAAAAAAAAAAAAAATCTATGTACGGATTTTGACAGAGCAGACTAAATTACTCCTTTATCTAAGCTGGCAAGCCAGCAGAGAATTCTGAGAAACGGTACTTGAGCTTCCTTGGAAAGCAAACAACATGTTTCACATCTACAGAGGGGAAAAAAGTGGCTTTTCAAATCTCCTCTGACACAAACAAGCATACCAATACGGCTCTGTTCAATCGACTCATTCCTTGCCTTGAATTCTCATCTCAATCTAAGATCTAAGATTTATCACCGCTACCAGAAAAATTAGAACAAAAGTTCTGGTACATGATATATATGAACACTTCACTGAAAAAGCTGCCAGAGGTAGAAGTACATGGAACACTCATGAAGAATCTCATGTGTGTCTTATGCCACGAATGCCTTTCATCAAGCAGGGCCTTGTAGAATGGAACCTCTGCTTGGATAACCCTTGTGCACTGTCTAGAAAACAGACATGAGAGCAAAGAAGCCTAAGAACAACTAAGGCACCCTTGCACTCTACAGCACTGGACTACTACTATCTGGACATATATTCACTGCCGTGTTTCTGGACAGACAAGACAAGCTCAATCACCAAGTCTAAGACAGCAACAACAAAAAGGTTATTGGGCAATTCACAGGTTAGAGCCAACTGCATGTCTTTCCAAGCAGCAATATAGCCTAGTTCATCTTAAACTAGGTTTTGAGAAGACAACAAGGAAGATAATTACCTGCTGAGCCAACGAGAAAAGGTCCTGGTGGAGAGCCAGTACAGCCCTGTAGAATGCACCATCGTGGGTGTCCCTTGGGATCATGCAGGTGTATTCCTCCATGCTATCCCACTGACCTGCAGAGACACAGATATCCTCAGTGATACAGTAGCCCCCTCTGCAAGATAAGAACAGAACTGTGCTACGGTGCTCAGACATCAGCGATTAAGCCTGAATGCTGCGTGGTGCTTCTACATTTAAGTCAGCTCTCCAACAGTTTGTTTTTGGCAGGCACAGTCTGTGTTATATAGAGAAATTGTATATATACATTCACAGTTTTAGACAAAAAAAGGTCTGTGTTTTTGCTTCTAGGCAAATTGTTGTCCTCATGGAAAAGGTTCTTGCATTCCTTGTGATGAAAAAGTTAAAAAGCTGACATTTCCAGAACATTTGAATGAATTACAAGATTATTTTTTCTCAGCAAAGGCTGGCAGACAGCAAGTGATTTATAAGCTTCTGTGGTAGATACCTGGCTACCAGTACAACTGATATTTGGACCATTTATAGATTTATCCCACTTACGATTGTCTACTCAGCAGACACAACCTATCAAAATGCTCGAGACATTGTTCTAGTTTGTAAATAAGTCTGCTACAAATCTGAGAAATTCTATTAATCTCATTTCAAATCTGAGCTATGTTCAATGTAAAAGTAAGTAAAAGGAACCAGTTAAGCAATTAGTTATGTGCTCAGATCAATAAGGAAGTCACTTTGTCACTTGAGACATCACTGGGAGACCTTAGGTAAATGCAGCTTTTCCAAAGGACTTCAGTGTTGAATGACACTAACTTCATACCCTGACGTAAATAATTTTGTTCTTTAATTTTACTGTTTTTTACATTTTGTAGTTCTGAAGCAAGTTAAAACTATCTGTGCTTCCACGTTGTGGGCTGTCACATACTACCACACATGGATACATTACCTAGACCCCAGGCAGCAGCAGCAGCCATCCTAGCCATCTTAGCTTGAGTTTCATCATTGACCTGTGTCCACTTTTCACAGCATTGCTGGTGAAGCTGCCCCCTAAGAAAAATCCACAATTTCTGATCAGCAAAAAGCCTCTTCTAGGAATTCTGTCTTTATAAGCAACCACTTTGCACAGATAAGAAAACAACCAGCCCCATAATTCTTTTCATACAGAATGAAGAATAGGATTCTTCTCCTTTAGCCAACTCAGACATGCTAGTCTGATGACAAATATCCTATCACCAGAAAATTAAAGGCACGCTATGCTTTGAAAACACAAATCCAGACAAAAGTTTGCACTTGTTCCTCAGCAGTTAGTAATGTCTACTTTACAAGCTGAACTGTCGACTCCAGTCCACAAATACAGGAGAAAAACCACCCCATTCTCAAGATAAAAATCAAACCATCACCAAACAAGGGATGCTTAACTTTTTTTTTTTTTCAAGAGTCAGTACAAAGGACACATGATCTGAATAGCTTGTGCATGGCTCCTGCTATCAAACATTTTGGATAAACACATCATCAAGTTTGAAGACAGCGGCTAGAGAATCAATGCTGCTGTAACCTAGGGTGAAGACTTGTCATGGCAAGATCGCAGAGGGGATCTGAATCTTTCATCTCCAGTGGAAAGGAAGCATCAGGATTTTTTGTATTATTTCATTTAAATCAACTGGGGATGCTCCACTAATCAAACCTATTACTGGGGGTATTGCAGTTCCAGCATTTCTCAAGCTGGATCCTCTGTAGCAATGGAATAGCTGCCAACTGTTAGTGAGGGCAATTTGCCTTTTCTACTGTCATATCCTCCCCTCCCAAAAAGCAAGATGACAAAAAGGAAGACGAGTTAGTCAAACCAAATCGAAAGGCTGCCACAGGCAACATAGTCATTCTGACAGCTTAATGGCCAGAAGAAAAAAAACAAACGAAACCAAAACAAAAGAAAAGCCAAGCCAAACCTAGCAACAGCAGCAAATCAGGACCTCATACGTGCTAATAAAGTAGTATGGCTCTTGCAGACATACCTACATCAGGGGACAAATGGCTGAGAGTATTTTGGCTGCACTTTCAAAACACCACTGCACAGAGCATTTAAATAAGGATGTTGCATAGCAGCAGTTCTAGATTAACTGTCATATTCTGCCAAGCAGACTCCAGCAGCACTGCATAGCAGCAGTTCTAGATTGTCATATTCTGCCAAGCAGACTCCAGCAGCACAAATAGTCAAGTTGAACATTACTGAAGAATATCAGCAGCCAAACCATGGACTTCTCAGTCTCAGAATGACATCTCTATAGCCAGTTTCGAGGTAGCAGACAGCACTTTGCAAAGGCCCTTCTGAATTCTAAGAAAGATCTGCACACAGATGGAGTGCAGTTCCACAACAGCAAGCACACAGATCTTTGTGATTGCTCTCATCACTACAGACTATCAATAGAAGCACAACATCTAGCTCCAACAGAAGCAAAGCACTCTTGTAATATATTTGTCACTGAAACATGAAGCAGGAGCTTCACAAATACATGTCCTGCAGGAAGGAGTAATTCCATAAATCCCTCATGGGAACTGCCTACTCCTAGAAAAGATGACTGAGAAACTGATCATTATGAGGATCTATTTTTCATACTGTAAAAGCTACGCCCAATGTGCCTCACTCTCATCTAGACACAAAAAGGGCAGAAAAACTCTATCAGAATTAGGTTTCTCAAACAGGTCTGTTTCTCTAACAGTAAAATGACTTTAGTGAAGAGGAATCTCCTTACTGTTTGCCATCCCATGGGTTCATGTCAGGACCCATCAGGAGAGAGCTCTAGTGACATGAAAAGTTCAGTAGAAAGGCGGAACCTGGACCAAATCACACATGCCCCTGGGCAGAACTGCATGCCACAGCGTGCAGGATGCCTTCTCCAATTATCTCCTTTGAATTGAAGTGAACAGGGTGAAAAACAGAAGCCCCATTTAACTAGCAAGCAAGAAGTCACTACCAGCTCATCCTCTCGTCTAATTAGTTACATGCTGAACACACACTTTTAGCACAGGATTTGAAATACAAAATGTTCACAAAGACAATGTTAATGAATGCTAAAAAAAGACAACTAATAATGAAAAAAGCCATCTACAAGATGAGCAAAAGGGTTTTAAAGGGAGTAAGGTTTATTTGGCATAATCTTACACTCAGGTGACGATTAGGAAGTAGACAATTTCACTAAGAGTTCTACAAAAGACCATGTATTCTGGATAGGCACAGGTCTGACCATGAACAAATACAGAAATCTCTCATGTTTTAATCAGTTTAAAAAGGAGGGTCACAATGAGCTCCTTTTATGATTGTTTTTGACAAGTGCTGCCCAGTTAATGTTTTCTGAGAGGTCCCCTCTAAATATAATTCCTTTCTCTGCTACAAACGGGGTTTATCTGATCAGAAGACTGCAGATTCTCATAATTTCTTTCTCTGCTACAAATGGGGTTTATCTGATCAGAAGACTGCAGATTCTCTTTCAGAGAGAGCTTAACTTCATCCCAAAAGTCTTAGAGATGTTATTAACAATTCTGACTTCACAAACAAAGTGAGAAGTCGCTGGAAATACTCTAACTATTAAGTAAGCAGAAGTAAATAGGAACTTAAAGGAAAAAAAACTTCACCTGGATGACAGCATCCAGAGAAGAGTTAGGCACCATTTTTAAAGGCATCATTTTCCTCAGTCTTCAGGCATTCCCCTCTTACCATTCACCAAGTGCTTCTAAGCAACGCATCCGTCCTAGCATCAGCTCAGGATCATCTTTGTTTGTGTCCATTTTCTTGTCATAGGCCACCAGAGCATCTTCCCATTCATGAAGCTTTTCATACCAGGTAGCTTGAATTTCCTAAGGGGAAAAAAATAAATCAGAATAAATAGCAGGATTAATATTCACCATTCCATATTAACTACCCCAGCTTTTCCTGAAAAATCCTGTGTCTCTGGTGGTCACTTAGCCTATTTTTTCATTCTTAAAATCCTCATGGACTTTTGTGATACAGAGAAAAATCCTGAGCTAGTGCAAAAACAGGAATCCTGAGTATTGCTTAACCTGCACAGAAGTGAATTCAAGTTTACCAGAGGGATGAATCCAACATCATCCCCCTATTCAGTGCCAATGAAATACTAACTCAGTAGCTGATGCTTTTCTTTTTGGAGAGGGGGAGTGAGTGGAATAGGAAAAAAGGTAAATCTACAAAATATTTCACTTCTCATTGCTGCACATGCTTGCATTTAAACAAGAACAACAGTCCTATGTTAAGGAATGGAGTGACTAACTGGAAAAAAAAAAAAACAAACCCAAAAGCACACTGTGCACCTGGCTACTGCTAGACAATTTTTTAATACAGCAGGCATGCATAATGTTGGGGTCTAATCGTAGCCCTCAAAAGGAAAGGCTGTGGTTTGTAAGAAAGACTTTAAAAGTAAGCCAAGCAGTGATCCTTATCAGCTGCACAAACTTTTCTTCAGTCTTTGTTTCTAGATTTTGTTTCTAATTTTCAAGAAATAAGATGCCTTGGTATTTTTTCCATACTGATCTCTGCCAATGTTTTTCTGCTCAGTCCTTGGCAGCTCATGTCTTGACATAAGGTGCAGAATAGATTCTTTTCCCAGCCCTGTGGGCAGGGTCAGTATAAACCACGCTCTGCATGCCAGGTCCTCCACTTAGGACGTTCATATACCAGGCTTTTAACTTTTCAGCTCAGCCACAATAGATCAAGTAAGTTCCTGAAAGCAGAGCTCACACAGCTCCTCTTAATTTCTTTTCACTGCCTATTCTGGCAAAATCTGTGTTTTGAACTACATTTACTGCTAAAACTACATAACTGCTAAAGAGTGAGGTCAGAATTACATAACACAGAGCTTTGCTCAATCTACCTAAGGAATCGCAAGAAGCTGCGAAGATGTTCTGAAGTTCACACTTCTCCCAGAAAGGGCTTCCTTTCCAGTCTAGGTCAAAACCAAACCTCATCCTACACCAAAGGAATTCCACCATTCTGTGCTTATACCTGTTCCTGCTTTCTAGTGGCTCCTAATGAAAGAGGCTAGTCTACTGTGCTCCCAGGGCTGCCTTCCTTTTCCCAATCACCCTGAGGCACTGCAAGAATTATCACTGCAAAATCATCTTTTTAACAGAGTAGAATTGGCAGGAGAGCATAGATGTCTTAGTCCCTGAACACAAATTAAATGCTTACAAAAAAAGAAAAAAAGGTAAGTTGTTTAGAGAAAGACACAAACCAAACACAGAATGGGGTTATTTCATTTCTGTGAGTAGTTAAAAAATGTAAAGGGCTGGCTAATTTGTCATTCTAAATAATATCTGTGAACTCTGACATGTCTGCATGCCTCCTGGATGAGAGAGGTCAGAGGCACAACTTCCAGTCAATTCTTACCTGAAACGTGTTGATGCTGTTTCTCAAAAACCCTCAAGCATGTAAAGCCCAGAAGAGGAGCTCACTCCCTCCCTTTCTAGCTGCTTCTAAATAAAATTACTTATTTTGTCAAGTCGCTAGTTTCCGACAGCTGCATTTAGTGTCAACGATAGCTGCTAAATTCTCCTCCAAATCAGGTTCTTGAACAAATTCTTGCAGCTTTCCCCAGCTATCCGACGTGTATGCAGTTAAGACACAGTACTCATCCCCATAGGCAGCAAGGCACCTTTGGTATGAACGAGGCAATATTGTAAGCAGGGACAGAACCTCAACATGATTGACTGAAAAACACAACATCACCATCAAAAAAAGAAAAAAAGCAACCTACAAACCCCACGAAAACATAAGACATGAAGAAGAGAGTTATCCATCAAGACTCACCAGCTCCCCAAAGTGCTTCATGGCGTACTCCAGTACCCCAGCAGCTGCTTCTGGCTGTTGAAGTTTATTGTTGATGCTGAAAAGGTAGGAAGAGAAAGACCATTTAACACAGCTGGCAATTCTTAGGGGCTGGTATGAGCTTCTGCTTGATAATACCAAGCTCTGTCATTTAGAAATACCAATGGAACACTCTCCTTTTCTTTAAAACTTTTAAGTGAATGATTAGACCACATAAGACACACAATGACTACACATTTGGAAAACAATAGGTCCATACATATTCTCTGCACATGTTCTCAAGATTATCAGTTCTAAATAGCAGCCTGCATAGGGAGAAGAATAGTTGCCAATAGTTTGAAAAGCATAATTTCCCAACGGCTGCACTTATCAAGAGCTTTACAGTACTGATTTTTCCCCTCCCTTTCTAAACAGACAGCCAACTCCTTTAAAAATCAGAGTAGATATTTTAATGCTCTAAGAAACCATCTACAGAGTCACCAGGAACACACGAAAAGCTTGTAACCCTACTTTCAGTTTCATATTTCATATAATGCCTCTGCACTGGTACTACTCAGTACTGGTGCTCTTCTTTTGCTGGTTTTCAAGAACACATCAGAAACTCCTGCCACCATGACCAGTTCTCATTCTGTACCAGTGCAGCACCTTGCTTTGCAAGGGCTGCTGAATTTTGTGAAGCACAAGCAAAGAGGCTACTCATGAGCCTGGTTCTCCAGTTCAGCAATGCCACGTACAGCTATTCTTTTCAATCATTTCTATTTCACATTGGTTTTCTGATCTTACCATCAGAAATGGCTGTCTGCACATTGGTGCGCGGTGATCAGTGCTTTTGCTAACCCCCAATTTAAGGAGGAAATAAAAATTTATGAAGCTCCTGCTATTTTATAAAGCTTTTTTCCAACAGTTTCTGGCTCATTGCTGTCTTCTTTCCCTAGTTGTGCTGGAGAACAAGAAGTGCAAGCTGCTCAAAGCAATGCCTCAACACCTGAGCATGCTACAATAAACCCTACAGTCCAATATTAATACTAGTTAACATCTGGAATGGGAACAGCACAACTTAACAAAACATGTCAACTGAGAGCAGTCCAAAGAGACTTTCAATGGTCTTTGAATATGCTGCTGTAGATACAGGCAGCTTTCAGAAATGCCCCTTCTTGCCTGCTATCATCACAATGACTACGTATTTTTCCCCGCTACGAGAGGCTTGTTGATCAGGAAGAGGGATGCAAATCTACAGTATTAAAGGGAGTTCTCTAGACAAAGAGGGAAAATTTTCAAATAAGTGCTATATTTCTTCTGCCTGTGGGAAGGTCAAGTAAAATACTCTTGGAAGTAGGACATTAGAATGGCTTGAGCTCAAATCAGATGTAGTCAGGCTAAGAATGCACCATCATCACAGGCATCCAAAAATGGGAAGCACTTGAAATACATCCATGCCTTTTTTTAGCAAGATAATCAAAGAACATACTACCTCCACACTTCCCAAGGGAAAGCTAGGCAGCAGTGCCTCATAAAAGTGATAAATGGCTGTCACATTTCATATCCTGATGATTTAAAGAGCCATTTGCAGACACATCACTTCCAGCATGTCAGACAGTTAATTACTTCCAACTTATCTTTCTTGTCAACACTTCCTGACAAAATTGGCCGTTATCTTTTATTCTTCAACAATTAGCACTGCTCTTTTGCTGTTGCTCCCTGGTGCACTCAATCACTCTTTTGTTTCATACTTTCTTGGCTGTCCAAAGTAGAATTAAAAAGCTGTCTATGGCTAGGTTTAAGCTAGGGAGGGGAAAGAAGGGAAGGGGAAGGAGAAAGACTTTGATTTAAAGGAATATACAGCAGTAGATATAATACTGTGTTGTTACTATTCATCATAAATTAGTCTCTTGTAACAAACGATCTAGCCCATCCAGCGAGCAAAGACAGGTAATTTTGTGGACTAGGATAAGCCACTGACTGGGAAATCTCCTGTCAATTATTTCATGTTTTGATATACCACATCAAAATAGTGTATACACAAAATGAGGGGGAGAGGGGAGCAACAACATTCACTGCTTGGGCAGAAATGGACCTAAACACTGAGAAGTGTCAGGAAGAGAACAAGAGTCCCTCCAAAGCAAGACTGATGCATCAAGTGGGCTTTATTAATATGGGTGAATATTCACTGACTTCAGAGTAATAAAACCTCAGTAATCACTGCATCGTTTTGCTATTCAGTTTTACAGGCTAAGGGAAACACTGTCGCGTGTGGATTAAGTTCTGATCTTGTGTTTTGGAGGTTTTTTGTTCGTTTTGAAACACCTCTGATTTCTGCTTTTTCCTCATCTGCTGGATTCAGTGTGCTCTCAGTGTTGGAAGTACATTGACAGTTCCCAAAAATCACTACTACCACAGCTCACTGGAATGTGTTTTCAACAGACACACAACTCTCCGCATACAAATTCTCTGAGAAAGGGCCTGCAGATTTTGCTTCTCTTGGAAAAGCATTTCCACATGGAGTCCTGTTAAGACATTCAAAATACATGTTTAGAAATCATGGCATTCTGTGCTTCCCTACCCTTTCACCTGCCTATCATTAAAGCATCGCCCCTCTCCCTGCAGGTCTGATGAGGTCTGCACTCAGGCAGATTCTTCTCAAATTTTGTAACACTCTCAAAGCACTACAGAGCTGTTTTCTAGTTATCATGCTGGAGACCAGGCAGAACGAACAACTCTACAGAAAAGCATCCAGGCACAGAAGAGGCCCCAAAGGGATAATATTCCAGCCAGGCAGCATTGCCAGGGGGTTTTAGTCCCAGTGTTGCTGCTGGAAATCAGGGCAGTTTCTTGGATTAGAAGCAGGAGGATAGATTTCTCCTTGTATCTGGAAAAAGATAACTATGAAATCTTCCTGGATTAAAGGAGAGGATGGGAAAACATCTCTTAAGATAGAAACAACGCTGCTGGCTAACTCAACAGCCAGCAACTTAAGTCTTTGTTTACTGGGTGGTGTCCTTGCAGTTGTTCTTAATTCAGTATAATATGAAGTTTAATATTAAGGTGAAGATCAATTGTTCTCCATATCCACTGAAGGCAGAACATATTCATCCATTCATTTTTTGCTTAGCAGCTAGAAAAAAAGATGATTTCTTAGAAGTTTTTAGGTATAGGTTTGTTAGGTCATGGGTTACATATGACATCTTTCAGGAAAGACCTAAGTATTCAGCTGTACTACCTGGTATGGACTGGTAGAGCCTTCCACTATTAATGCTCAACTAAAATATTTCAGAATTCTGTATTTTAAATGCCACATGTACAAACATCAAATCTTCTGAAACTATTTCAAGGCAGAGCTGTCCTCATGTTTGCAAGTAGACCATTAAAATGGGAGTCCACAGAAATAACAAGATTGCCTAAGTCGTATCAACAAGATTTTGATATAGTTTGAACTAATGCATTAATCTCACTGTTTAATAGCCACCATTTGATTTCTCACTTTATGCAATAAACAAAGTGATTAGAAGAAACAAAACAACATTCAGGTTCTTATACTTTCTATGAAAATGAAGATTAATTAGCTGCAAAACTGATTTTCGCCAATGAAGTTTTGTATGAGTTTGGCTCACCTGGACTCACTGCATAATTACACAATGCAGCACAGTAGAATTAGAATTGATGACAATCACAATAACAAAAACATTAATTCCTGTATTCCAAGTGTACAATCTTCAGCAGCTGTTAAGGGGCAGCTGGATAAGGAAATGAGACTGGCAGAAAGCTTTGTGAAAAGACAGTCAAATACAAGATTATAGATAACCTTCCCTCTGTTTATTAATCAATATCTCTACCGTAGCCAAGATAATATTCAATCCTCCTGTCCAACCCTAACCTATCTGTAGCACTTGATTATGATGAGTGGGATATTAAAATGTGACAAGCCTTCTGATGTAAAAAGTTTGCAGGGATGGAATGACATAGTAGTTGGAAAAAGTGACTATCCTTGGCAAACTCCCCGATATAAAAATCTTGGACAAAAATCTTGTATTTGAATTTTATTAGCAGTGAAAGGTTACATAAACCTACGATTTGATAGTTAAGATATTAAATAAAAATTTAAGTCTTAGATGTGCAAAGGAGTAAAATGTAGCACATTAAGCTAGAATCACAAAAAATAACACTATTTAAGAGAAATATGCTCCCATTGCTTGCATATTATAAAGGTTATTTAAACAGAAACCAGACATGAACTGGGAATGAAAAATAACTTTACTGTCTTCAGCCGGAAGAGCACTCAAATGACGGACTTTTCTCCTTCACAAACCCCAGCATAAGTGTCTCCTGTTTACTAGAAATACTCTCTTTTATATGGTCTGGGAGCTTACTAGTCCTCTGTTATCTTTCAGGGTCTCTAACAATATTTTCTGTCATTCAAACTATATTAAATTTTCAAAAACTCAACCTTGAGACTGGACCTTTCCTTATCTTCCCATAAAAATGAAAAACTTTCAATAAAGCCTTTTCAGGAGGTCCCAATCCTACCCGTGAGGGAACACGCACATTTCCTGTTGCCAGAAAGCCTCTCAAAACTTGGTAAAGAAACCTTATTTTTGTAATAAAGCAGCTTGTGTGCAAAGTCTAGACAAGAAGCCAAATTTTTTTTTTTAGTCTCCTCAAATTTGTTTAAAAAGCTCCTCTGTGCAACAGATTCTACCAACCTAAGTCAAGCTTGTTTTTCCTTCTGAACAAGTCCTGAGAGCTTGCTTCTGGGATTAGAAGTGGAAGGCACTGCTACTTTGTGGATACTTTGGGGAACAGATAATCCTCTGGCACAAGGAATTGGCTTTGTTGGCCAGTTTCCCCAGTTCTACAGTTTATCTGTGTTCAGGCATCCCTGAGACCTTGATTCAACAAACCTCAGAAAACAACCAATCGCCCTCCAAACAACTCCAAAACCCAATGCATTTCTATCATGCCACTAAAAATTATTCACATACTGGGAACAAATAAGTTTGAGAAACCAATACCAGCAAAGAGCTATTTTCAATAAACAGTTGTGAGGACTGACTGCTCACAGGC